TCTCTTCTTCTCTCTCTCTCTCTCTCTCTCTCTCTCTCTCTCTCTCTCTCTCTCTCTCTCTCCCACGTCCATTTGCTCGTTGTGCTCTTCTCTTCCTTCGATCTCCCTTCGTTCTTCTTGCTCGATGCCCCGTTCCGTCACTGGCCTTTGCCAGGAAAAGCGGTTTCATTGTTTGCGAGTAGCTCTCTCTCTCTCTATTCCTTGCGCCAGCCGGAAATATGGCGTGCCAGAGCTGGCTGGATGTTAAGTGAAATTCGCATCATCGATGCGCGACTCTTCAGGCTTCGTGTTGTGTACGTATGTCAGTGTGGATACGCATGCATGCATACGTTTATCGTGAAATATGCCGGCGACGTGTATTGTGCGTCGATCGAGAGGTTCGAGATGAAGTTGTATAAAGAGAAAAATGAGGAATCGATCGAGAATGGAAAATCGAGTTGTAATTTGCACTCCATGGCTTTCCTCCGTTTTAACGATTTAACGACATCTTTATTTCTTGCGCATCAATATCATAAAAAGATGTATCGAAAAAAAGGACATTTTATTATTAGGATTGGATCGTGCATCATTCGATCATTGTCTGCGATATAAGTAGAGAAGCCGTCAGAGTAGCAGAAGCATATCGAAGGATGAAAGACTGAGGTATAATGTTTGCGAGTGTTGTCGTCTTCAGCTGAGGTGTTACATCATTGAATATCGACAGGATTTGCGTCATAAGAAACTGGCATTGGGAGGTTGACGTTGAAATACCATGACGTCAGTACGAAGACAATTTCGCTTGCCCAAAGTTTCATTCAGACCGAGAGTAGAGAAATGTGGCGATGACTCCCCGAGGAAGACTCATCGCGGTCGAATGCAAGAAGCGTTCGGGGCGGCGATCCATTTAATGCCAGCCAGCTCCGCTATTCCACGGGACTGTACGACGCGCGAGATCGCGAGAAAGAGAGAGATCGATCGATCGATCGACGGCTTTACGTAAGTAAGGTATACAGGATTACGACGGTTTTTCTTACGAGCGACAATTGCGCCTGCGGACATCGGATAGCGCTCACGTGTCTCTCCACCTTACCCATGCCGTTAAAAGCGAGGGTTGAACAATTATTTGTTGGTGGTGGGGGGTGGGGTTGTGTTTATACGTTACCGGTGGTAAGACTAATCTCCATGGCGCGTTGGCGATGACCGAGGACCTTGAACTGAGGCAGGGAGACCTCGTTGCTGACCCCGACGCTGTTCGGGCCCTCGTTCCACTTGTACCGGATGTCCCTCATCGTGTATCCGACTGAAAAAATAGAGAGACCCCCCGCGGTTGGTACGTACCTTCGCGGAAGCCCTCAAACGCATATCAGCTCCGAGGGGGCCTCCACTTACCTCGCACCCCCATCAAACCTTACGAGTCCGCTCTCTTTCACTTTTTCCCCTTTCTCTCTGTTCACAATTTTCGTTCCTTTCTTTCTTTCTATCTATCTGTCTCTCTTAGTTTATCTTACTCTCTGTCCTCTGTGAGGGATACCCTTACGAAGAGAGCTATCGAGAGCCCAGATTAAACTGACTTTAAAGGAGCGTGTAGGCGAAATATCTGACGTGTAATGAAAGATCGTGGACGATCTTCTCGATCGTTTGACACGATTGAGAAGCAAGAGGCGCGTATCATCCGCGTATTTACGAGTCCGTTGTGTCGATTATTGTTTTGATGTTGTGGATGGTGGATGTTAGGCCAAAGATGGACATAATACTATTCCTAAAACCCATTAGCAATTTATACGCTCGAGGATACGTATATAATAGGATATATCTATTGTTGAGATCTATTACCATAAATCCATACTATCCAATTCGCGCCTCGAGAGGAAATCTCAATTTAAAGTTTTACAGATCGTTTTATTTTCTATAGATTTGTGTTTACGTATAATGACAGTTAATAAGAAATAGTAATAAAAACAAAAAATAGTACAACGTCCATCCACAATAGTGAAAGAGGGAATCAAAATCTGGGAACGATGGATACGCGTGACTCAACTATCGTCTGTGTCTTTCGTAGTGTAGGTAAAAACTGATGAGTCGATCAGTCGATCGGTCGAAATGAATGGCCGTAGGACTACGCTGTCCCACCGAGCAAGCTCGTCCTTACATAATTAAACGTGTTCGCGAAAAGACAACACAGTGATCGGTGCATATCGATGCGGGTCAAAACAGGATTCACATTATATATGTATATATATGTATATATGTATATATATATATATATATATATATATATATATATATATATATATTAAACTAATGCATCGAGAATTCTTTACGAACAAATACCTTTGTATACGCATACGAGTGCATATTTCTACATGTTCTATATAAAGAAATTTTAATCTTGTCTTACGTATTCGCTATGACGAATCGTAACGATGTAATCAAGTTTTATACAATATATATATATATATATATATATACATATACATATATTATTCGCGAATTTCTGGACCAAGTTTAGAAGGAAGAACGAATAAGAGGGGAATATCTACCTGTAGATAGGTGTATGGTTGTCTGTCGTTGCCTGTGACCGAGCACGCGAAACTGCGGTAGTTCCACCTCGTTCGAGATGCCGACCGACTGTAGGCCGGAGTTCCATTTGTACCGAATATCGCGCATTGTGTATCCAACTGCCGGGAGAACAAGAACACAAATATCTTCGCTCTAACATACAGTAATTAGACACTGAGGTAGTGTTCGGTTCGGGACGGAAGGGCGGTTCCTCGGGGAGTACAGTAATTAGAAGCAAAGTTATCGCGCGAGCAACCTAAAACGGTTCCCGTTGTTGTATCACGGTCCAATTCTGTCAAAGAGTAGCATAAATTTCTCTCCGCGCGGAATCGATTTAGGATGCCCTCCGTGCCGCTATATCATAAACGTCATCAAGATAGGCATTGTAATCTTATACCGATATAGCCGTTCGTGTTTTATTGAGATCCGAAAAGAGCACTTTAAAATTTTTACACGAGAGTAATATCGTAACTATAAAAAGGAATTCTGAATCTCATTTTTGTTTAAGAGAATCTTATCTTCTTCAGTTTTAGATTTTACGATATAGAAACGATAATTTGTATGAGTTTCAGCTTTTGATACTGTCTTTGCGTTTAACATCGAAGAACACTATAACTTTTCATCGATTGCTCTTCTATTCGCACACAAAGTAATGCCATCTGACGCGTCTATGATGTTTTCAAAATCGAATTTGCGGTTATGACGTCCAAGGCCACGCGGGGTTGATATCAATCAACGTCCCTCTTCACACTGGGAGAATTCTAAATGCAGCATGCTGGTGATTCATCTATCCCGACTTCGTTCCACCGACGAACATCCGCGATCGGGTTTTACCGATTATCGATCATAATTCGCGCCTATTCGTTCTCGCTAATTCCTCCGCGCGGCCTCCGCGTACATACCGCACCGAGAAACATTCCTCCGTAACTGAATCTTAGGTGATTACGATCGTTACACCGCATTCCAGGCACCAAAGTGGCATTCCGTCGCGGTGGCGGCCACATTGCGCGAGCATCGGCCAAACATAGATTAAGCGGTACGCCTCCGAATATACCAGATTAATTGCCTTTGTTTTTGGAATGCGATTTTGGGATCCGCCGCTGCGTTTTATCACGTTCGATAATTCACGTCGCGATTCCGCACGGTAGGCATGACTGTCGCATGCGGCGCAAAATCACAACCCCGGTAATGACGTTACGATTCGCAACAGGCGTGTTCAACATCTGCCAGATTCGAGGCTCTGGAAACGTCAGGTTTTGTTCGCACATTCGCAGCGTTCGATGTAAAAAAGTTCACGCCAGTCGTATATTAATGAGGGAATAGTGATGCTGACGTTTTATAATATATAATATATCTGACGTTTTTATATACATCTCGGATATATATTCAAAGTTTCATTTTTCATCTCCTTTTATTTTTTAATTATATATCTAATATTATCTCTCTACCGCAAACACTCATCATATTTATAAATGAAGCTAACCGAATGAAGAAATCGCGTTCGCGAGCAATGATGATCACGCCTTGAAATCGAGCAAAAATATTATTTCGCGTCCGTTTGTCCGTTATTCTTGCCGATGGTCGACGCATAGTTAAGTGCAGCGCAGATAAAAAGTTGATACTTTCATAAAGTTTTAATAAAGAAGTCCTGGACTGAGGGCAACATTAAGCATCACGGGAAGGTAAAAGGGATTGGGGAAGAACGGGAGAGGGGATGAATCGGTGGCGATTGAATATTGCAGGAGAGAGGACGGCGGCAACATTAGCAAAATACCGAGGACTATGGTAGTGGCAGCAAGTTTAGGTTTAAGACGAAAAGTGGAGAGTGTATAAGATATATGGAGAAGCAAAGAGAAAAAAAATAGAATTTTCTGTGCTCAGCATGCTACAGTGACACATACACAGACTCACGATAGATTTACATATATGTGCTACATGCTTTACGCCGCACATTTCACTTGCTGTGCTGCATGCCCCGTGCAATATGCTCCATTCTCCATGCTCCGTGTTTTACGAGAAACGCGAATTTCCATACCGGCTTTACAGTCCCCTTCTGTTAAAATTCAAACGTATTATCTTCGGACGTATGGTATTCCTATGGTATCCTTTTAATCAGGATTCGCAGGTAATCAGGCACGCTTAGCGTGTATGTACAACGAGATGGAATTGCATTTCTCTGCGGTGCTTCTTTTGCTTTTACGTAATGTAACGATCTAGAGTGATCTAGAGATTTCGAATTGGTGCGATTTATCTGTCAAGCGATCGACACGAAATATCAATGAGATATTAAAAATTTTCAAATGTCATTTTATTTTCAGAGATTAGATTTTTTCAAAATTTTTGGAGGGACGGATAAA